GGATTGAACCTACAACCTTTTTGGTGTATGGGGCAATGCTCCAACCAAGGGAGACACTCAGCTAGGGCAAGAGATAGACTTGAAAAACAAAGCTAGACTTGACGTGAGTTAGAACTTGATAGGGTGAAATATGGCTGAGATTTTGAGCTCAGGAATATGTTACTATTTAATAGAGATAAAGTAAGAGCTTGGTGAGTGAAGCAGTTAAAGGTGACGCCAAGTGTCTTTAGTATCAGCTGTCAATGTGAGAAAACGTCCAGACTTAAACAGAGAATTTTTCTAAGAGGTTATTTGAACCAAACTGACAGCACATGCTGGGAAGCAAGATCTCAAAAACTACAACAGGGGTGTCAAACTCATTTTCACTGGGGGCCACATCAGCCTCGAGGTTGCCTTCAAAGGGCCAAATGTAATTTTAGGACTGTATAAATTAACTACTCCTTAAGTAGGGGCAAGGAGCTCAGCGATGCTGCCAGTTAGAAACAAGGTACGGGGCTGGATAAAACAAATTCAGCCTGCAGACCGTATGTTTGCCACCTGTGCTCTAGAAAATAGCAGTTCTGCAGTTTCTTTTATGCATTTGAAATTAACGGGAGGGCCCTGGCTGGTGTGGCTCAGTGGATTGAGCACCAGCCTGCAAACCAAAAGGTCACTGGTTTGATTCCAGTCAGGACACAAGCCTGGGTTGTGGGCCAGGTCCCCAGCTAGGGGCATGAAAGAGGCAATTGATCAGATGTATCTCTCACGTGAAGACATTTCTTTCTCCCTCCCTTCCCCTCTCTCTGAAAATAAATAAAATCTTTAAAAGGAGGAAAAAAAGAAATTAAGGAGGGAACTAAGGAAGATTACATAGAGGTGGGGGGAAGCAAAGGGGGAACTGAATTACAGGATAGTTAACGAGATTGTGTTCTCTTTGGATGGTTATTGCAAAGATGTGTTACCTAGATCAGCAATTTTCAGCCTTTTTCATCTTAGTACAAATAAACTGAGCACCAAACTTCTGCTACCCACCAAAAAAATTTTTTTGGCCAATTTGACCAAAAAAGTAGGTATATTTTGAATAATTACTTAAACTTTTTACTCCAAAGCAGCTTTCTAAAAATAAATTCAGGTGCCTGTACTTGTATATAAGGATTTCTGGTACCAAGAATTAATTAATCAGACACAGTCTTATGCAACATGACCAATAAGATGAAAATCTATGGTAAGACCTATATATTTATGGTTGAAGACAGGGCATTCACACCAGACAGCTATTATATTGGTTATTGTTATTTTTTTATTTGGCAATCTAAGGGAAAAGAGGTTAGTGCCTCTGACTAAATAATCAGGCATTGCATGTTTTAAAAATTCTTGTGGCACACCAGTTGAAAATAGCTGAACTAGATGCACAGAAACAATGGACGGGACCTGCTTATGGCAAAGATAAACCTTTTACTAAGAAATGTGCCTGGGGCATGACTACTCACCATGACCTGCCCCTTTAGGAATTTACATTCAGATAATCCTGTGAGGTAACTTTCCATAGAAACCCCCCCCCCTTTTTTTTTCTGTCCACACAGCTTAGAACGTTGACTTTCAGAAATAGGCAATCTGGTATTAAGGGTTGAATGGTTAGGGATATTGTTGTTCTATTTTAGGCTATCAAGCTTCTAAATGATTAGTCTTCAGTAAACCTTCCATCTGTACTATTTTAGTTGTTACAATATTTACGTGGTCTTATTAAAGATTTTTAAGCCCCTATGGTGTGGCTCAGTTGGGCACCATCCCACAAACCAAAAGGTCACCGGTTCAAGGCACACACCCAGGCTTCAGGTTCGATCCCCAGTCAGATTGCATGCAGAAGGCAGCAGCCTATGTATGTTTCTCACACCGATGTTTCTTTCCCTCCCTATCTCCTTCCCTTCCCCTCTCTCTAAAATAAAAAATAATTAAATTGGTAAAAAAGATTTTTAATAGAAAAATCAATGTCATATCATCATGATCGTATTGTATATATTAATTTTGAATTAAGAGGAGTTCTGGAAGCCTTTTTAGTTAAACTTTTTACCTTGCCTGACTTAAGAGTTAAATGTTATGTACATTATATACTTTAAAGCAACTAAAAATAATTTAGAAAGATACTATATATATCAAATATTTTTAAATATTCATTAAGTCCTTTCTAAAATGTTTTTGATTTACAGCTCTTGAACATAATATTTTTAAGCAAATCTTTTTTTTATGAGTTTTGAGATTTTACTTTTTTATACTTTTTTAAAATTTTTTTTTTTAAGATTTCACATATTTATTTTTAGAGAGGGAAAGGAGGGAGAAAGAGAGAGAGAGAAACATCAATGTGCGGTTGCTGGGGGCCATGGCCTGCAACCCAGGCATGTGCCCTGACTGGGAATCGAACCTGCAATGCTTTGGTTCACAGTCCGCACTCAGTCCACTGAGCTACGCCAGCCAGGGCCATAAGCAAATCTTTTAATCTATACACTGGTACTGAACATTAAGCTTAGTTTGAAGATTTCCTGTAGAACCTTTAAATTAAATTTGTATGGAGTTTTTAATTACAAAGTTATATATGTTCTTTGCAAAAATTAAAACAGTACAGACATGTGCAGAGAACAAATGTTAAATGTTCTGCCCTACTCCTTTTCTAACCCCATTTCCCATACCCCATTAAGTTTAGTGCATATCTTTTCATTTTTTCCTATGGGTACTGCATCAAATCAGACTCATAAGAATCAGTAATATTACCCAATATTGAGGTTTACTAATTACTTAAAGCAGTGGTCCCAATCCCTTTTGGCACCAGGGACTGTTTTTGTGGAAGACAATTTTTCCACGAGGGTGTGGCAGAGACTGGTGGGTGGTGATAGTTTTGGGATGATTCAAGTGTATTACATTCAAGTTCACCTCCTGCTGTGCAACCTGGTTCCTGACAGGCTACAGACCCATACTGGTCCTTGGCCCTGGAGTTGGGGGCCCTGACTTAAAGGGAAGAAGCAATCAAGAATGAAAACAGATATCTAGTACATGAAAGATGGTTTCTCAAAACATACTTTCCCACACTGATGATGCATCTCTGACCCAGAATAGTAGGTGAGCTTTCTAAGTAAGAGTCACCTCACACAGTGAAAGTGTTTAAATTATCAATCAGCATTTTATATCCCAGAGTTGTGAGCTTGTGACATTGTTCAGGGAATTATGCCTCAGAGATCCTGGATTTATCTACTATAGGTAATCTTTAGCCAGGGACATCTTGCTAAGAGTATTTCAGAGATAAGTTCCCTTCCTCCTAGCAAATGTCATTAGGCTCTTTACTCAAGGTCCAAAGGTCACCTGCCTTCTTCCCCAGTCCACCTCCCAGGAAAGCTAGTGAATGGATTTACAGTCCTTCCTTACAATCAATGCGTATGCATATATTTAAATTTTCTGTATGGTTGAGTTTTTATACTAAAATCGCATTTTAGATAAATAGGTATGTAGGTAGATACAGTTCTATATCTATACACCATTAATATATCATTAACATTGGTCTGTGTGGTTCTAACTCATTTAAATGGCTGCATAGAAAGTATTTTTGATGTTCCATGATTAGCATTGTGTTTATAAACTAGCAAACTTCTACAAAATTTAAACTGTTAGGAGCTTTAGGTACAGACTTCAAGTGTAAATGTAGTAATTTTGACATAGATTTTTTATTGTGGTGAGAAACATTTTTAGCAAATGTGCTAGAAATTAATACGTGAATATGATGGTAGCTTTGAATGGCTTGTCTAATCCTTGTTTAATGAACCTTGCTTGTGGCCATGTTTGTGCCAACTGTGGAAGACAGTTGCCTACCACAGGTAATGATGGTTTGTGGTTCCTCCATGGGATTCTCAGATGACATTAGTGATATCACTAAAATTATTGACTATCTTAAAATTGATTGCATTTCTTGAGGTGGTCATCTATAAAAAACAAAATTCCAAGACTTGGTTTCTTAGCCCAGCCTTTCAGCACTAGTACCCCAGAGATAATTTCCATCAAGTCTAGATTCCTGCGGGTACCCCAGTAACTTCTCCTTCAGAATAGTATTTTCTGGACTAAGTAAAAATATATTATCATATTTAATATTATAGTCGTACTAAGTATTTTTCATACTAAAACGTTAATGAGCAAAAGCTAGTACTATGGTCTTTCAAGCACCCAGGAAATTAAGATTTGAGATGGTATATGAAATAGTATCTAGTTGAAGATTAAAAATATACCTTAAAGTTTAATATGAACTTCTATCTTACCTTCCTGTATTTTATTCATAGATACCATGTGAATGAACAGAGACTGAACATTTTATAGATACTTTTTGTAAAAGGCAAATGTCAGGGGTATCAAATTCATCTTCACCAGGGGCCACGTCAGCCTCACAGTTGCCTTCAAAGGGCCAAATGTAATTTCAGTGCCTTAACAGTTAAGGAGTAGCTACATTTATATAGCCCTAAAATTATTTCAGCCCTTTAAAGGCAACCGCAAGGCTGATGTGGCCCTCAGTGAAAATGAGTTTGACACCCCTGGCATGTGAGGAGTAGTAAATAGTTTGAATCACAAAGGGTTTCACATTATCCAGTAGGTTGAAAATAAAGATCTTCTAAATCACAGGATTATTTCTCCTGAAGCTGATACTTTGATTTGAAAGCCAGCAAAAGCTATTCTTAAACTGTTGGGTCAGACTAAATATATTAAAAATTATGAAGTGTAAATTTGGGGTTACTTTGTTCTAAAATAAACAAAATACTAAGTTTTCCAGGGTAAAATACATCTCAAAAAGTGAGCTTTATTATCAGTTTTACATGAAAAAATGGTAAGAAACTGGAAGTGACTTTTGTGAATTTTCAGATGATTGAACTATAGTAATGATATTTTAAAATTTGAATGATTTTATAACAAGATTGTGGTGGTTCTCAGGTGAGTGGGAGTGGCATATTGGACAAAAGTAAATTTTGTAACCTTTGTGTCATGTTTTTTAGCTCCCCAGTTGTTGCACAGTCTCACTATTTGGGAAAAATTTATGCTAGGAAACTGAAGCAATTAATGGGTGAATATGATCAGATTTCTCCACCACGTTCTCAGCCTGATAAGGGTAAGGTTCCTTTCAGCTCTTTATTGATTTTTGCACCATCTGTGGTTTTTGGAACTAGTTTTTTTAACTTAGCATGTCTTCAAGGTTCATACATGTGGTACCATGTATCAGTACTTCATTCTTTTTTATTACTGAATAATATTCTATTGTGTGAATATACCACATTTAATGCATTCATCAGTTGAAGGACATTAAGTTGTTTCTGCTTTTTAGCTGTTACAAATAATGCTGCTATGAACATTTGTATACAGGTTTTTGTATGAACACAGGTTTTCAATTCTCTTGGGTATATACCTAAGTAAAATTGCTGGGCCATAGCTAACTCTATATTTAACATTTTGAGGAACTCCCAAACTGTTTTTCAGAGTAGCCGCAACATTTTACATTCCCACCAACAGTGAATGAAGTTTACAATTTTCCACATCCTTACATTTAATATCACTTGTCATTTTGATGATCTGTCATTTTGATTAACCATGGTAGTGAGTATGAAGAAAACTCTTTTTTCCTGTTTCTTATTTTTTTATTTTTTATTGAATTTATTGTGGTGACATTGGTTAATACAATTAAATAGGTTTCAGGTATACAATTCTATAATATACCATCTATATATTGTATTATGTGTAAAATTTTTTTGAATTTTTTAATTGTATTTTTTCCATTACTGTTTAGTCCCCTTATACTCCCCTTCCCATCCCTTCACCACAATCACCACACTATTGTCCATACCCATGAGTCTTTTTTCCTTTTTACTCAATCCCTCTACCCACTACCCTCCCCTTATTAAAAATTTTCAAACATAAAAGTAGAGAAGAGTAGTATGAACTTTCATGCACCCGTCATTCACTTTAAACAATTATCAACATCTTTTTAATCTTATTAGTGACTTTTTAAAAACAGCTTTATTCAGGTGTAATATACAATAAACTGTACACTACCAGTCAAGATGTCAGTATAAGCAGATGTGACTCACCTCTTTGCAGAACCACATCAAAATTACAACTAAAATATAGAACAACCATCACTCAAAACTGTCAGAAATCAAGTTGAATGGAAGTCTGACAACTACAGAATTAAGAAACCACATCCATCTAGAATGGTAGAAGGGATGCAGGTGTGGGACGGGCTGGTCCCTCATCCATGTGTAGTGGATAAAAATTTGTGAGGCATATCTTGGAAGCAAGGCATATCTTGGGAGCGAGGAGTCTCAGCCCCACACCAGACACCCCCAGCCCAGGGTTCTAGTGCCAGAAAGATAAGTATCCACAACTTCTGGTTTCAAAACCAGCAGGAATTGAGTCGATGGAAGAAACTGTTGGGACCCCAAGCAGTTCCTCATAAAGAATCCACACACGGACTCACCTACTCAGACTCACTACCTCTGAGTTCCAGCACCAGGGTAGCAGCTTGAAAGGCACTAGAGGTACACAGGAAGAAACTGAAGTGTCTGGCATCAAGGCGAACAGAGGCCTTTGTCCCTTTTGTAAACCATCCCCCCACATAGCCATAAGCTGATGCCATATCTGAGACTCCATCAACCTGGCTAACACTGGTTGACCCACCTTGGAGATCCCTAGAGACTCCACCTGGCCCTTTATGGGCCCACCCAACCTGCTTTTCCATATAAATAGGTGGTCTTGGCTCTTGCTTCACAACTTTCTAAATCTTTTCAAACAAGCAACAGCTGGCCTCAGTGAGCCCCAGGCACAGCACAAGAGCAGCCAGACTGGATACACAGCTTGCATTCACTGGGAATCTCCAAGCCCAGCACAAGTCACAGCCATCTGATTGCTATATAGCTCAGGCAGGGTGGCCAGAGGCAAAACACAGGTGGGGGCTGACTTTGCCCTGCACCACCCAGGAAACCACAGGGTCAGCGCACCCAGTGGGCAGCTACAGACCACATTGGAGCACCACCACCCCTACCCTAGCATACCCAATTCTTCATAGAGGGTGGAGGTTGGTGGTCAGTTGTCACAGCCAATTCTTGCAGCTGACTGGTTGGGTAAACCTCTCCCATTGACCTGTCAACAGCAACCAAGGCTCAACTACAAGAAGAGGGTGAACTCAGCCCACACAAAGGGCATACTTCAAGTACCCAGCTTGGGTGACAGGGAAGGCTGTGACACTGGACCCTACAGGACACATACCACATTAGGCCATATTACCAAAACACAGTCAAAGCAGCTCTACCTAAAACATAGAAACAAACACAGGAAGACTACCTAAACAAGGAGACAAAGAAATATGGTCTCAATAAAAGAACAGATCAAAACTCTTGAAAAAAGAGCTAAGCAAAATGGAGATAAGCAATGATCAGATGCAGTATTCAAAACACTGGTTATAAGGATGCTCGAGGAACTTAGGACCTCAGCAGCATAAAAAAGATCTAACAGATACAAAGGATACACTAATTCAAATGAAGAATAATTTATAGGTAAACAACAGTAGAGTGGATGAAGCTGAGAATCAAATCAATGATTTGGAACATAAGGAAGCAAAAAACAACCAATCAGAACAAGAAGAAGAAAAAACACACAAAAAAATGAGGATAGTATAAGCAGCCTCTGGGACAACTTTGAGAGGTACAAAGGAGCTCATGGGGGTGCCAGATAGAGTAGAGAAAGAGCAAGAAATCCAAAATCTATTTGAAAAAATAATGAAAGAAAACTTCCCTAATTTGGTGAAGGAATAAACATGCAAGTTCAGGAAGCACAGAGAGTCCCAAACAAGGTGGATGCAAAGAGGCCCACTCTAAGACACATCATAATTAAAATGCCAGAGGTTAAAGATAAAGAGAGAACCTTAAAAGCAGTGAGAGAATAGCAATTAGTTACCTACAGGAGAGTTTCCATAAGACTGTCCGCTGATTTCTCAGAAAATACTTTGTAGGCTAGAAGGAATTGGCAAGAAATATTCAAAGTCATGAAAAGCAGGGACCTACAGCCAAGATTACTGTACCCAGCAAAGATATCATTTAAAATCAAAGGGCAGATACAGCTTCCCAGACAAGAAAAAACTAAAGGAATTCATCATCACCAAACCATTACTATATGAAATATTAAAGGGACTTATTTAAGAAAAAAATCAAAACTATGAACAATAAAAGGCAACAAATACAAATCTGTCAACAGTTGAATCTAAAAAACAAATTAGGCAAACAAGAAGAACAGAGACAGAATCATAGAATCTAGAGAGCCTTGTGGTGGTTGCTGGGTGGGAGATGGTTGTGAGGGGATGGGTGAAGAGGTGAGGGGATTAAGAAGTACAAATGGGTAGTTACAGAATAGCCATGGGGATGTAGAGTACAATATAGGAAATGGAATAGCCAGAGAACTTACACGACCCATGGACATGAACAATGGTGGGGGAATTGCCTGAGCTGGGGGATGGGGGGGGGCGTGGAGGTGCTGGGTGGAGGTGGAGGCAAGGAGCAAAATCAGGACAACTATAATAGTATAATCAATAAAATATTTAAAAAAACAAACTGCATGTATTTAAAGTACAATTTGATGGGAGTTTTTAAATATATCTTTTTTAATTTTTAGAGAGGGGAAAGGAGGAAAAAAAGGCAGATAAACATTGATAGGTTGCCTCTCGCATGCCCCTAAATGGGGACCTGGCCTGCAACCCAGGCATATGCCCTGACTGGGAATCAAACCAGCAGCCTTTCAGGTTACAGGCCTGCGCTCAGTCCACTGATCCATTGAGCCATACCAGGCAGGTCTGGTTTTCGACAAATGTATATGCCCATAAAATTACCAACACAATCAAGGTAGTAAACATATCTTTACCAAAAAAAATGCCCTTTGTAATGGCTTCCTCCCACCTCTTCCTGCCTCATCTCAAAGTAATCACTTTTAGTATAGATAAATTTGCATTTTCTAGAGTTTCATGTAAATGGTATCAAATATTATATACTGTTTTGTCAGACTTCTTTCACTCAGCATAATTATTTTGAGATTCATCCATGTTAAGTATATCAATAGTTTATTCCTTTTTGTCAGTGATAGTATTCCACTGTATGAATATACCACTATTTGATTTATTTATTCACCTGTTGATCAACATTTAGGTGTTTTCCTTTCTGGGGCTATTACAAATAAAACTGCTATGAACATTCATGTATAAGTCTTTATATGGACATATATTTCCTTTTATTTTGGGTAAATATTTAGGAGTAGAATAACCAGCCCCTATGGTAGACATATGTTTAACTTCCTCAAGCTGCCAAACTGTTTTCCAAGTGGTTGTACCATTTTACATCCCCACCAACGGTGTATGAAAATTCTAATTGTTCTGCATCCTCACCAATACTGGTATTGTCAGTCTTTTTCATTTTAGTCATTCTAATAAGTGTACAGTGGTACCTCATTAAGGTTTCATTTGACATTGACTTGATGACTAATGGTATCTTTTCATGTGATTGGCCATTTGTGTATATTCTTTTCTGAAGAGTCTGTTCAAATCCTTTCTATATATTAATCAAATATTTGTTACATTATCTTATTTTATTCCAAATTTTTATACTATTTAAGTTGAATAGAATAGTAGCTAAATTTTCTGACTCACCAAATGAAACTTCATGTAGACTTTCTTTTTAATCCCTAATTTCCAGATAAGATAGCTGATCACTAGTGACTCTATAGAGTGCTGTGTTAGGCTTATTTTTCTTTGAAAGGGAAGAAATGTGCAGTTCTGCATGGTTATGCTTACCTCCTAATCTTTGGAGGTAATACCTCCAAATACCTAGGAATACCTCAGAAATACCTCAGAAATACCTAGGTTATTATCATCTCATAGTTAAGTACATTTTCTGCTTTATTTGTACTTATGCAGGATTTTAGGTAGGGTAAAGGAAGAGAAGCAAGAATAGTGCTATTCTTCCCCCCCGCCCCCGCAAAAAAAAGGAGTCACTAGCATAAGTATAGAATACTCAGAAATTTTTCCTGAAACTTTTCTCTGTAGCAATTCAACCCCCCTCTCAACTTTCACCTCCATTTCCTCCCTTAACCCTCCCACCAGCAGTTTAACAGAGAACAAACCAGAATGCATTCTAGAATGCTTTTTTCACCAATCAGAAGTAGTGGAATGAAACCTAAGCCCTATATAGAAGAGCTGGAACTCTGTTCTCTCATTTCCCCTCATCCCCTATACCTAAGAGTTTTATCTCATAGCTGAATTTCTAATTTCCGGCATTCCCAAACCATTTTAGAAACATTCTTATGTTTTTAAGTCCTGCAGTACTCTAGTCAGGTGAGTGTGTGTTCACTTAATTTTGTTTGGGTAAACTGAAGAGTTTAAAGATTGAATTACTTCTTCATGTTTCCATTCTCATAGAAAACAATAAACAATAATTTTGAAAAAAAAAGAAAGCAAGATACAAGAAACTAATTAATCATAACTTTAGAAAACAAATGAGCATTTAGATCAGGCCACCCACCGTGAGTGTGTAGTCCTTATCTACACATCTTTACATGCCTTACATTTGTAGCCCTACAGCAAAATCTTAAATGTCAGCTCCTTTCTGCCTCTATCTCTCTTCTGAGAAGGATAAAATTCCCTGTGAGTAGTCTGGGAGATATTTAACTATCCTTTTGGTGTTATACACCAAAGTTATACACCAAAATGTTCCTTTTTGGTGTACAACTTTATGATATTTAACTGTTATGCTGAATTAGGTTTTAATTTGGACTTCTATGTTTTGTTTTGAAGCTCTCTTTAAAAGCAAAAGATATATTCAGAATAAAATAATCTAGTATAAAGAATTTTCTTTTATCTTCTCTACAGAGTATTCTCTTGTCAACCTAATGAAGCATTCAAAGAAGACATATGACTCTTTTCAAGATGAACTTGAAGATTATATCAAAGTGCAGAAAGCCAGAGGCTTAGAACCAAAAACTTGTTTCAGACAGATGAGAGAGGGCTATTTGGAAACCTGTAGGTACAAAGAAGAGGTTGATTTCAGACCCAGGTATAGAATGTTTGATCAAAGGCTCCCATCTGAAACCATCCAAACCTACCCAAGATCATGCAATATTTCACAAACTGTGGAAAACCAGTTACCTCAGTGGCTACCGGCTCATGACAGCAGACTAACACTAGATTCCCTGAGCTACTGCCAGTTCACCAGGGACTATTTCTCAGAAAAACCGGTTCCCCTGAACCTTAGTCAGCAAGAGTACAATTACAGCACATACAGTGTAGACTCTAGAGTTTACGAGCACCTCTCAGAAAACAGTACCAGTGCCCATAAAGCCAGTCATAAACGGATGCATCACAAGAGAAAAAGGCATCCAGAAGAAAGCAGAGAAAAATCAGAGGAGAAGCAGCCCAAGCATAAGAGGGAAAAAGGCTGTGAGGAAATAGACTTAGACAAACACAAGAGCATCCAGAAAAAAACAGAGGTGGAAACAGTCAGGATCAGTACAGAAAAGCTTAAGAATCACAAGGAGAAAAAAAAACGAGATGTGGCCTCCAAGAAAGAGGATCGTAAGCGTAGAAAAGAGAAAAAAGAACAAGGTAAAGAAAGAACTGAGGAAGAAATGCTTTGGGACCAATCTATCCTTGGATTTTGAAGCTCTTGAGTTGATTCTCCTGAGGTTAAACTGAAAAAATCATTGAGTAGCTTGGTTTTCTGATGTTCATATTCATAGCACTTTTCTCATATAAACAGGTACTTTAACTTCTAACAAAGGCCAAGTGAACAGAAAGTATTTAGTATGCTTGATCTCCAACATGGAAATTACTTTTCTCCATTTTCTAAAAGCATTATTACATTTTTCTTATATATAATGTAACTTCCCTTAATGAGAGTAGTTTTGCTTTTATTCATCAAATTGTCATGCTGATGGAAGTATTTTTCCTTTGGGAAGTCATTTATTTTAAATTGGAGGATTAATAGGCTTCGTGGAATCTATTTCTTGATTGGGTTTGTTTTACTTTGGGGTGGGGTATTTTTATGTTCATTGGTTTTCTCAATGAAGCAATTTAGATTTTTTTCCCTCTGTTAGATATATGTTTCATTTTGTTGAAGCTCTTTGTATTTTCTATATTTTCTTTGGAGCATCTATATTGAAAAGTGGAAGTTGAAATACATTAAAATAATATGCTTAGGTGACATATAGTTTTAAAAGTTTCAAAGAGTTGATACAAAATCAGTTTATAACAAGTATTTATAATAAAGTGTTCTAATTTTACATTTGTTCTGTGTCAATGATCTCTTCCTATTCAATGATGATTTTCTTCTAGAAGAGTAGTAATTGAGCAGTCTGTACTTAAAAGACAAGATCTTTGGGGTAGGTCACACTTTACAGCTATAAAAAATTCCTTAACTGCTATACCTTACTCATTCATATTTAAACTCATTTTACCCCCTCTCTCCTCAGTTCTCTTTCATGGCCTGCTGCCTTACCCCTGGCCCCTCTTGGGATCACCACCTTACCAAGCCTTCTAATTCACTGGGCCCCAAATAGCAAAAATGAAAGGAAAGAATGGGGAGAAGAAGAGAGAAGGGGAAGGGTAGGGACCCATTTCATTTTATACTATGACCACAAACCTTCAATCCTTCAAGGTTTCCCTAGTAAGTCTCCCATTCAGAGATATCTTTTACATTCCCCCCTCTCTCTGCTAACCTTCCCTTTCCTTCTGCTACCCATATAGACCCCCTTTCTCTGCTGAAGGCTTCGCCTCACACACCATTGAGAAAATATTGTAGAAGCCTTCTTAGGAAGACTTTCTCATCATCCTACCACCAGATCTATAAACTTCCCCCAGGAAGCCTATTCTCTGATTTCCCCCCTGTTGCCAATAAAGGTGTCCCTGCTCTTAATTAAAGTCAAATTCCACCCTTTGTGCACTGGATTCTACACCCTTTTACTTTCTCAAGGACTTCTGCACCATGAATCTCCTTGACTGGATCATTCCATTAGTAGGCAAACATACTTCTGTTTCCCCTCTTCCAAAAACACATGACAGCACTCACTTCCATAGCACATATGCTAAAATCGGAATGATACAGAAGAAAAAAATGACAAAATCTCCCTTGACCTTTGAGCTCATTCCTTTTTGATATCAAAACATGTCTACACCAGCTGCCCACACTTTCTCACTGCTCATTATCTCCTCCACCTGTTCTGACCCTACCACTCCTCTGAAATTGCCCTTCTCAAGGTCTCTAATGACCTCCATGTTATATGCAATGGATATTGTTTATTTATGCTCAGTTCAGCCTTTCGGCAGCTTCCATCTGGAATTGGTCAGTCCCTTTTCCTCAAATGCTCCTCTCAGCTTCCACAGCACTACTTTCTCCTGTTTTTCCCTACCTCCACAGCTCCTCTCATGGTCTCCTTTACTGGTTCCTCCTCCACCCACCTCTAAATGCATCCTGTGTATTGCATCAGGAACCAATTCTGGACCACCACTCTAATTGCACATCATAAGAGATCTCATCCAGGGCCATGGCATTAAATTTACCCATACACTTGTGTTGTGGACTGAATGTTCCCCCTGCAAATTCATATGGTGAAATCTAATTCCCAATGTAATGATATTTGGAGGTGAGGCCTTTGGGATGTAATCAGTCATGAAGGTATAGCTCTCATGAACGAGATTAGATTAGTGCCCTTATAAGAGGCCAGAATGCTAGCTCCACTGCCCAGTATATGTTTATTATAGCAGCCCAAACTGACTAAGACAGTTGAAGACCTCTGTAAATTTCTATTTCTGGACTAGATCTTCCCCCTTGAGATCTAGACCCCTATCCAAGTGCACTAAGTGATATTTCCCTTCATAACCCCAAAAGCACTGACTTCCCTCACCACCAGTTATTCCTCCCACAGTTTTCCCTGCTAAAATCACACTTGACCCTTCTACACCAGACCCACCATTAATTCCTCCTGGTTATGTCACCAAATTGTCTCCTATTGTCCACTTCTTTCCATCTTCTTTGTCACCACCCCGTCCCAAGCCATCATTTATCCCATATGAAACAGGACAATAGGTCTGAGAAGAACTGCAAAACTGGAAGAAGTCATCACAGGCTCTGGGTTGGTGAGTGCAAACTCTGCAACAGAAGCACCAAGAGATCAAATGGTGTTACGGTCATCTCAACCCTGAGGATTTCAGAAATATCCAGCAAATATTCCTTCCCGAAGGACAAAGCCTTACCTGAAGAGAAACTTGCTAGGCTGAGAAACCCAATCGAGCAGGAAGTGACACTGGGGGGAAAGGAAAGAGAGGTTCAAATGGTTGGGAGTGGGGGTAAGGTCCAAGATGAAGCAGGAGGATGCTGATAGTACTGTAACAGCAATAAGACAGCATCCACAATGAGAATACTACCTTAGCAGGCAAGACCTCTAGGCCTGCAGGAAATAGAACAGAAAAACTTTTCGGAACCAGGAGTAGCTCTCAGAGGCAGAGAAGTAGCCATATTTTGAACCTTTCATAATAACAAAGAGAGAGCCCTCAAGCCATGCAGCTGAGAAAGATACCCTAGGCCACTGCCCTTTCCACAGAAATGTGCTCCCAGGAGTCCAGGTTAACACATTGCATTTAAACTTTGGAAGGGAGGGGAGGGAATATGATTTAGCCACATAAAGTGTTACAAGAGAAAAATAAACTGAAATATTTTGACTAAAGATACCAGTAAAATGCAGACACAAAACATATGAAAACTAACCTAACACTTCAAACAAGGCTGAGAGAAAACTCTTAAAGCTTTGAGAAAAGCTCATAAAACAGAAAAACAACTCTGAAATAAAATAACCAGACAACTATGCAACTGAAAAAGAAAGAATTATTAATTCCAGGGAAAATAAAATGCAGTACAGTAAAGAAAAAGGAATAACATTTTTTAGTCAAATATATCCATGAAGTCAGAAGACATTGTTACTAAACAATTACCCTGACACAGGGGAAAAAGTAATAAAAGAAAATAAATCATTTCAAAACTAAAAGTTATATTAACAGGAATATGAGAGTATACAGACATCATAGAATAGTGATAATCCAACAATAGTAAGAAAATAATACAAAAGGCTTGTGAGAAGGTGATAAAGATAAGCAGAGATCCAAAGAGTCTCCAAAGAACAACCAATGAAGCAGACCAAACATTTAAAACTGTAAATTTTGTTTGTTAATGACAGCAATATGCAAAACAGTTGCAGGTTTGTGTACAAAAGGTTGTTGGCTTAGTTTAGCAATGCAAACAGTGTTCTGGATTATCAGACCTGGGCAGTAACTCCAAGACAATTTGAACCTTGTAAACTGACAACTTGGTTTTGAATTCCAGTTGTACATTTATAAGTTATATATAGTAGGTTTATTGTCAGAGAAATGTCAGCAGTAACTCTCCCTCTTTGTATCTACCCCTTGGGTAGTCCATGCTGCGGGGCCTTGGCCTTATTGAGACAAGATGGTAAGAAGATAGGGAAATTCCTTGGCAAGTGGAACAGGGAAATTGAGACAGACAGCTGAACAAACTGACCAAGCGATCTGCAGCCAGGTACAGAAGGTCACCTCCCTAGAGACAGCATCTAAGCCTCACTTGCATTTCAGCTCCAGGTCCAGAAAAGCAGCAAAACCAGGTAGTGGCCCCAGGCCCAACTGCAATGACTAAAGTCCTTTTCCTGTCCCTGACCAATCAGTGGAGACCACGACCCTAAAAGGACACACCTGGAGAACTGATGAATATTCTACTGAAACCCTCCCCCAAGATTCCCTCTCACTCTCCCTCCGGAGAACAGCCCTATTTCCTTTCCCTTCTTTCTCCCCCACTTCTTTCCCCACAGGCATTCCTTTCCTAAACTCTAAAGCAATGGGCAGCTGGCAGCTTGTCCCAGGCTGACCCCCTGAACCTGTCCCCAAAGCCCCCTTTTCTCTGACTTCCCAGGGAGCTCAGGCAGCCCAGCCTAGGCTCTCCTGCTGCTTCTTCTATGCTAAGCCCTTCCTTGTTTTACTCTCTCCAGCTTTAATAATTGTATCCTCGTAGTCATCTGGGCACCTGTTATGAAATCTTTCCTACATGAAGTCAAGAACTCACACACTACAGCTGGCCCTAGGCAGACCCACTCAGGGCCAGGACCCATATCCCATAACATTGTGACTTGCTTTGACCAATGGAAAAATAGCAAGTACCAGGCAAGCTAGATTTGGGAAGTGCCTCTGCTTGCCCTCTTGTTACTTTTGGAACTCAGCCACCTTGCAGTGGCTTATCACCAAGTCCTGCTGGATAATTCGAGTTCCTTAGCATGTTCCCATCATCCAATTGACATTGAACTCCTCCTTCCATCACCCCCAGATGCAAGGCCCCTTGGACATGCAGCCCCCACTGAGAAAGCCCAGAAAACTCACAAAATTGTGAGAAATAAATGTTTGCTGTTTTAAATCGTAAGTTGTTAGTGGTTTACGATACAGCAAAAACTTATACACTACATGATTTTAGGTGGGTTTCTTAATCTCTCTGAGTCTCAGTTTTGTCATCTGTAATATGGAAATAAAACAACTACCCTTGGAGAGCTATTCTGAGGATTAAATGAGAATGTGTGTGTGTGTATATATACTTTATATATACATATAACATACATATGAAGTGCTTGGCACAACATAAATACTCAACATAACAAAAACAAACAGGCTGCGCAGGCTGGAATGGCTCCATCCTCAGGCTGGGGCACCTTGCTGTAGTATTGTGTAAGCAATCTAGAATGCCAGAGAAAAGCACATGAAAGAACTGGAAGGCCAAGATAGGAAATTGCAAGTCCCGGGTTAGAGCACAAGTCACTCGGCAGGAGGGGGGCGGAGGTGAAGGGGCGGAGGTGAAGGGGCGGGGACTCGAGGCTCTTTCCATTCCCCCCACCCCCACCATAATGTCTCCCCTGGAAACGGTGCAAGCGGAGGCACTCCATGATGGAGCTGGCTCCTCCAGGAGCACAGGTATGGTACTCTGCGGATAAGAAACAAACCAAATAGAAGGACCACCCCCACAGGCGGGGTGGATATCCAAACATACCACGATTTGCCTGGAGCCCAGAATCCCTGATAACAGCAGAGGCTGACGGGGCCCTGGCTTTGGCAGACCTCGAGCGTCGTGGTGCGTTTCACCCCCACAGCCGCCGCAAAGGGAACTGCCGTTGCTCTCGGCATTGTACACGGAGGAAAACAGGCTCAGTGAGATTAAGTAATTTGTCCAGGGTTAGTT